CACTTTTTTTACACCAATCCAAGTGGGGCTTGATAAATTACTAATTACTACTATATACTTCCAATGTTTTTACTAATGGCATATGGGGAAAAAAAATCCATTTATCTCCTCAAATTCATATTTAAAGGGAGGGATGATACAAGGACGAGGATAAAGATAAATCGATAAAGAACAAAATGACTATTTTGCCAAACACTTTTAGTGTGGACCACTAATATTAAGGTCACTATATTTAAATGTTGTTATTTAAACTTAAAGAGTTTTATATCAATATAAAAAGGTCACTATGTTAAAATAAAGACGATTACTTTAAAATAAAAATCAATGTGTTTATAATAAAGGTCATAAGAGATTAATATAAATTTTAATGAAAATTTAATTTACATGTTAATATGAGTTTAATATATATTATAATGAAAATTTTAATATACTGGTAATATTAAAGGTCACTATGCTAAAATTAGGGTTACTATATTCAAATTAACAACACTGGCACATTTAAACCTCAAACCAAGCTCGTAAAATTTTTAATAAAGGTTAATATGTTAAAATTAAGATCACTATAACGTCAGTTGTTGTCGTGTATAGACCCCAGGTCCACTATAATCATATCATATCACTAATAAATAAAGTCGGTCTCGCAGCCAGGCCACGAGACATCGACACTTGACATTCTAGTTTTTCGCCAAGTGTCGAGCCACGTAGGCGCCAAATAGGTATTATTGTGACATATATGATGCTAAGTAAGCGAATTTCAGATAGAAATATTAAGATAAAAATGTAGTATAAAGTTTTATTATCGATATACTTCTAATAACTCTTATATACAAAACTAATCATAATTTTTAATAACTATCCTATAACTCAGTTCTATTTCCATCAAAAGTTTTAATCAATAAAAAAAATTATAGTTTGGTGAAAATACTTTCAATTAAGTGAAAATAATTTGAGTTCAATAAATATAATTTCAAGTTACTAATAACATAGTATCTATTTACAAACAAAACTACAAAAAGCAACTATTATATAAGTAAATGATATGATGTTATATGTCTAAATATTCTGCATCATAAAAAAGGATTATATGACTATATTTAACATTGAAACCAAAAAGTTTATCCTAAAATTTTATCAACAATGCGGGAATCGCCCGGGCACAAAACTAATCACTAATATAAAGCCGGTCTCGCAGTCAAACCACGAGACATCGACACTTGGCATTCCAGTTTTTCGCCAAGTGTCGAGCCACGTAGGCACCAAATAGGTATTATTGTGACATATATGATGCTAAATAAACGAATTTTGGATAGAATTTTTAAGATAAAAATGTTGTATACAGTTTTATTATCGATATACTTCTAATATATCTTATATACAAAATTAATCATAACTTTTAATAACTATCTTATAACTCGTTTCTATTTCCATCATAAAATTCGATTTAAAAAGTTCTTTAAAATAAGATCCATTTATAATATATTAAAAAAAATAATAGAGAATCAATAAAAATAAGTTTTAATCAATAAAAAAAAATTAGTTTGGTAAAAATACTTTCACTTCAGTAAAAATAATTTAAGTTCAATAAAACTAATTTCAAGTTACTAATAACACATTATCTATTTACAAACAAAATTACAAAAAGTAAACTATTATATAAGTAAACGATATGATGTTATATGTCTAAATATTCTGCATCATCAAAAAGGACTATTATATACGTAAACGATATGACAATATATGTCTAAATATTCTGCATTATCAAAAGATAATATGACCGTACTTAACATTCAAACCAAATAGTTTATTCTAACATTTTATCAACAATCTGGACATCGCCCGGGCACAAAATCTTTAGTCAGGCCATGAGGCAGCGACACTTGGCGTTCCAACGTTTCGCCAAGTGTCACGCCACGTAGACAACAATTAATTATTAATATGACATGTAAGATTTATTTGAAAATATTTTTTGTAAAATAGGATAAAAAAGTTATTTTATAGTTTTATTCTCAATAAAATTTGAATAGATTTCGTACGATAAAAAGGTTATTTTAGAGTTTTATTTTCAAGAAAACTTTGATTTAGAGTTTTATTTTCAATAAAACTTTGATTTAGAATTTTATTTTCAATAAAATACCAATATTTTTATACAAAATGGCGGATCCAAGAGGTAAAAAAGGAAAAAATAAAAAATCAAAGAGACTTGTTATTATATATAACCATTCTCATAAGTCTTAACATGCAACTAGACTTTTTCTAGATGTTCAGAGAAAATGAAAAGAGATAACCGTTCTTTTTAGTTGTATATTATTATTTCTAATTTTTTTAAAATTGTTAAGTGATTATTAATCCATAAAATACCCATAAACGGACAAGTATGATTGTCAAGTGATTATTAATCCATGAGTTAAGAATTCAAACAACATATATATTTTAGATAAAAAGTTTTATTTTAAAATTCAATAAACAACCCGGATATCGCACGGGGCACAAAACTAGTATTATTATGAACCAGGTTCACACAAGAGTTTTTAGCAGTAATAAGGTTATTTATTTAAGGACTTTTTGTGAAAAACTACCTCATATACATCAAATTTTGTGAAAAACTACCTTATAAAAAAATTGTTGTATGAAACTACCTTATAAAAACTAAATGTTGTAAGTTGTTACCATGTGCTTAATTTAACAATAAAAGAGAAGGGGAATTAGGGTTATAAGAGGGTTATGGAGAAATTAGGTGGAAAAAGGAGAAAAAAATGATTGAAAATGGGTCATTAAGCGTCTCTTATTCAATGCAATAATTCGGCAAAATATAATTTTTTACAATATTAATTGTTTTATAAGATAGTTTCTTACAATTATTTTTATAAGGTATTTTTTCACAAAAACTGACTTGTATAAGGTAATTTTTTACAAAAAAATCCTTTATTTAATTTAACTATTTTTTTTCAATCTTTTCTACGTGTATACCAAATAAGAAATAATCATTATTTTATCCTTGTCATAAACACTATTTAACTTTATCTTTTTTTTTTCAATCTTATCCACGTATATACTAAATAAGAAATAATCAATATTTTATCCTTATTCTCTACACTACTTTTCTGTCCCTTTACCAATTGTCCAGATGTTTCCTCACAACTATTGCCACATCCTTATTTAAATATTTTGTCATTAAATCTCATGATAACCACAATTTACTATTTTAGGATGAAAAATCTTGTATCTCCTCATTATCCTCATAAACACTTGTTATGTGAAGTAGCATAATTCTAATGTTCTGCAGAAATTAGCACTCTAGTAAGATACATATGCTATATACAGACTAATGAACATATTATTGCTGATTATAGGCCCTGTTTGGTAATTAGCTTTTAGCTGATTGATGTAACTGATTGTATTAACTGGTTTGCTAGCTAGTTATATTAGCTTATTTGATTAGCTATTTGTAAATAGCTGATTATGTAAAAGTGTTTGGTAAATAGCTATTTATTATTAACTGTTTTAGTGTATTTAATATCCAAAAAGCTAATTTACCCAAGATGACTGATGAAGAAATTAAGAAGGAATTTGATGATATGATGATGAATAGGGGATTGTATTGCGTAATTTGTATTGAGTAGCTACTTATTGTCCAGCTTATAGCTTTATTTTCTAAAATTAGGTGTCTTGTCGATCTTGTTAGCATGAGGACATGAGGTGTTTTTGTTAAAGGTCTGAAATTATTATTGTTTAGCATGAGAATTTTTTTTGTTAAAGTTCTGAAATTTTTATTGTTAATTAATTAGCAAATTTTTTGTTAAGGGTCTGAAATTATTATTGTTTAGTTTTGAGCTATCAATCTTCCACGATTTTTCAATGTACGGCTAACAAAGAATTGTAACCGGCAACTGTAATTGTTTTTATTTATTATTATTTTTTTTTACAAAGAATTGTTTTTAATCTCAACTCTTCAGATATTACTCCTTTCGTTTTAAATTACTCGCAACATTTTGACATTTTGCACTATTCACATATCTCACTTTGACTATCTTTTCTAGTGATTATATGACAACCAATGTAATCATATAAAATATTGTTGGGTCTCTTTTAATGTATAGTTTCTTAATATAAATTTTTTATAGCTTTTATAAATATATAATAAAAGATATCAATGGTCAAATATGTGCATCGTTAAGTGTGTCTAGTTAAAATATTGCAAGTAATATAGAACAAAAGGAGTAAGTGTTTTTCACTTTTCTACTACGTAATTAATTTTGCCTTAATACTACTTGTCGCCATATATGTGATAAATTTATAAGGTCTTCAATTTGTCCATAAGAATTAGTAATATAAATAATTATTTATTATCTTCTAAGCCTTAATTTTATTTTATTTTTTAAGAAAAAAAAAAACCATTCACCAGATTTATGTTTCCGAAAGTCCGAAACAAACAAAAAAAAACCAATTGGGCCAACTCTTGTGCACAAGCTTTTCAGTTTTCACACCAATAAACCCATCCTGACGAACTCAAGAAAAAGAATTTACTTCGAATAAAGTAATCACTTATAATGATAGGAATTATTTAATGTTTGCCTATAATATGAGCCCTAAAATCTTTTTCACAAAGTTTCATACCTGGCTGGTCAAACGGTGAAATTACTTATTTAGGGGCTAATCGGTCAGGAGTTATTTGGTTGGTCAGAGATTACTTAGTCAGGGGTTACTTGGTCGGTCATGAATTACTCAATCGGTTAGGGGTAACCCAATCAGTATTTTGGTGTGTGTGTCAGCCGGACGATGTGGCCAACCACACAAAAGACACGCTGAATCTTTTTTGATGTAAAAATGTGAGAAGTATAAGATTTTTTTTTACACCTAACATCAATACTATTATTTTGAAACAGGATGTTGGATGGACACTTGCCCTCCTATTTTTTCCTGTTTTAAAATAATTTTTAAGAATTAGAAATAATAAGCATCTTTCATCCCAATTCCCTAATCATACCTATTTTGATTAAAAAAATAAAATAAAAAAAATACAACTTTTCCAACCCAACTCCCTAATCATGTCTATTCAGGAAAATAATTTTTTACATCAAAAAAAAATTATTAAAACAGAAATTCAATCAAACAACTCTTTCATCCCAATCCCTTAATAAAATGTTCAAGAAAATAATTTATCGGATAAAAAAAAATTATTAAAACAGAAATTCAAAATTTATAAATTTATTAATCACGTCATTTCAAACATTTGTAGGATTATTAGTTGTATACTTGTATTAGATTTTTTCTTAAACAAAAAAATACGCTTTTAATTTATAAAACAATCCATTCTTATTCTAAATTCTAATCAACACACTAACTCACTAACTCATACTCTATACATCAATTTCTCTTCACTCAATGCTCCATTCAAATAATAATAACAATAATAATAACACTTCATTAAAATCTATACCAAAATACCAAACGACGTTCCCTTCAGTTTCTCTTTTCAATAGTTCTTTATAAAGGATTTGATTCCCAAATTCGTCATTGTTAATTGTCGAATCCTCTTTCCCTCTACTCCAGCGATCTCTCTGATTTTTTCAAGGTTAGTTGTTATTTTCCTTCCCCTTAATTTCTCAAATTTTAAGTAAATTTTAATTTTAATGTCTAAAGTTTTCAATTCCTTTATGTGGTCTTTGAACTCTGAAATTGGGGTTGATGGCGAATCGAATTTTCAGTTTTTATGTAATATTCTATACTTATTTTGCCGTTATTGTGATTAATTTCAAGTTGAATTGAAGGTGTGTTTTTGTATCATTTCTTCGTAATCATTTTTTCAAATGTATATTCATATGCCAATTGTGCAAATAAATTTAATTTTGATGAATTAATTGATTGTTTTTAATTGTGGTTAAGTTGAATTGAAGGTGTTAGGAAATAAGGGTGTAATTGTGTTTGATAAATGCGGAACAAGTCAATGAAAAATAAAAATGAGAAAAGCAATAAAGAAGATAAACAAAGAACAAAAGGATTTACGTGGTTTGGTCAAATTAAACCTACATCCACGGGTTGGGGATTCGAGAACTTCTTCACTATACTCTCCACCCCCGTCGGAACGAACTCTCTTTATTTTTCGATACAACTGATTTTTTTACTTCTGCCTTATACACAAGAAACTTGGACTCGGCTTCATCCTTTGTCCTCAAAAGATACACTCTGCTATACCTCGAACAATCATCAACGAAAGTGATGTAGTAGCGTTTCCCGCCTCTACTTTCCAAGTTCTTAAAGTCTGCTACATCTGTGTGAATTAGCTCAAGTAGTGTGGTCTCTCTCTTTGTGACAGTTTTGTAAGGTTTCTTCACAAATTTAGACTCCGCACACACTTCACAATTTTCAAGTCCATCTAATGACATGTTTGGGAGCAAATTCAAATTCTTCATTTGTTTCAATTTTGTTGCACCAACATACAACACAATCTACTATGCCACAATCCATTCAGTGTTGTTCTTACTTCAGAGATAACCGCAGCGATGACATCTTCATCCTCATTCTCAGCTAGATGAGCCTGATTTTTGTTACCTCCACTCGACTTCGGATTTTTCTTCTTCTTGTTCTTGCACTGCGAAGCAAAATGCCCCACTTCACCACATGTCCAACACTTGACAGATTTCTTCTTCTCAATCTTGCCCTTAGCTTTCCCTTCTTCTCAAACTTCCCCTTCTTGACACGATTGTCACCTTATTTTTAGCTGCTAATTCATTCTTTGGCTTGGAGGAGACATCCTTAAGCCTGTTTGATTCCTCAATCTTCATGTGGCTCACAAGTTCTTCTAGGGTTAAGTCCCTCTTTTTATGCTTGAGATGATTTCGATAATCAAACCCTGGTAATTTCTCAAGCAGGATCTCACACATCTTCATACCTTGAGCAAGAATTTCAGCAACATAATATTCATACACATGGACTTGGTCCTGATAGGCTTCGAATTAACCAACTTGAAGTTCAACTAATTTCCAGTCATATACTTCTTTTTTCCGGCATCATCAGCACCATATTTCTTTTCTAAAGACTCCCACATCTCCTTAGCAGATTTTATATTGACATACAAATCAAATATGTTGTTTTTCATGTGATTCAAAAGATGATCCCTAACAAATTTATTGTCACGATCAAATTTCTTGATTTCAGATTCATTAACAACAACTAAAGAGATGCTTTGGCTAGGGACGGATTCTTTATTCCCAGCGACGGGGGTACTAGGAATATCAATCATAGCATTAGTTTGAACAATAGGTTTTGGGGCATCCTTAAACAAAACATAATAACCTTCTACTTGTTCAAAAGCAATCAACATTCTTTGTGACCATCTCTTGTAATTAATTCCCTCAAGAGACTTAACTTTAGTCAGATCTAAGTATAAACGAGTTTGAGAATTGCTAGTCATGATATCAACAGTATAATATACTATCTCGCTTCTAAATTATTGGTAAAATAACCGTTGAAATCAATAACAAAAAAGATTAGAACTTTCCTGGGTTGAAGATCTCAAACTCACAGTCGTGCCGCGGAACAAAATCCACTACCTTAGAAGCGAAATACGCCACCACCGGTACAAGTTTCCTAGTGACGCCCCCCCCCAAGTTTAACGCAACTCTCCTCGTAATTCGTGCACCTGAAGAGTGGAATTACTCAAGAACTGTTCAGATCTCAAAGGGTAGGTTTGTGTTTGAGTGTTTAGGGTATTTCAATAGTGAAATTAACGTATGATTGAAATAATAGCCAAGGAGTAGCATTTATAGGAGTAATAAGAAAAAGGAAACAATAGCACAAGCCTCACGCAAGGCCCATACCACGGCTGGGCTGGCGAGCTATCGCTCTCTAGCGAGTGAGCTACCGCTCAGCCTTGCCGTAGCCTTCGCTCGCTGGCGAGCTATGAGCTATAGCTCCCTCGCTGGAGACCTCTCGCTCGGATTTGCTGCAAGGCATTTCCAGCAGCGAGCTATAGCTCACACATAGGTGAGCTCTCGCTCGGACCTGCTGCTGGCCATTGAGGGCATCCGAGCTCTAGCTCTCTTGCTAGCTCGGTCTCACGCGGCTCACCAACTTGCTTGCTACACCTTTCCCTCGTTAACTCCTTGCACACTCGGTAAAGCTTCGATTTGCATTACTAGAATTGCAAAAACTCTAACTATTCATTGGGAAAATAATTGAATCTCTTAATCTTCAACCAAATTTCCTCATGCTTTCATGCATGTGTTGATTTATTATTCCCAGATTGCCAGCTATATTAGTAAAAGTCAGTAAGATTATAAATTCATGACCAAATTTTACAGTACGGGTAATTTCCTGATCTCACGGATATTAGTATGGATTTTCAAGATTTTATTTTTCTTTAATTTTGAGTGTTTTGTTTGGGTTCCAGTTTTGTTAGATGGGTTATGAATTGCTGCTATTAATCACAGTATATCATCAATTGTGGGCTTATTTAGTGATCCAAATATTGGTGATGCACACTAGAATTTGCTGAAAGAGTTTAATGACAACTGAGTGAATGACAATTAGGAGCAAAGGTGAATGAATAATAACTAATGCAAATATGGTCAGTTCTCAGCTGTGAAAGTAATGTGAAATCAGCAAGTTATACTGATGTGTAACTTTTAAATTGACTGTAGGCAAAAATCTTAACACCTGTGATTTGGAAAATATACTTAATATGTTTCTATCAATGGATAGAACTTCTGTAGTGTGATTTATCCATACCTCTCAATGCTTTCTATACCAATTATTAAGTTTTGTAGTTAACTAATAATGCCACATTTTGTATGTTTCATAGTTTAGTGATAGGAGCAGGTTGATTGGGCTTTAGATATAAGTAGTTTAGGTAAAAAATTATGCATGCAATTCTTAGTCTTATGTTTACAATGCTAATGCCAAGCATTTAAATGCAGGTGAATAATATCCCAACAACAATTTAACGACTTTGACTACATGTTTGGTGAGTAAAATGTGCTGAACTTTTTGACGAAATGGGTGGTAATATGAGTTTTCGGCTACAGATAATGGCAATATAGGAATGGATGGATATGAGGCGAAATGTATTTCAATACATAGTTTATAGCAGCTTACGAAGGTGCCATAAACCCCAAGGGTCCTCAACTGCCACTCATTCACGGAAATTACATCCACATCTAAGATTATACCAATTTCTTTGACATTGTAAAAATATTGGATTTCCAATACTGTAGAAGTATTCTTGCTACAATAGGTTACTATGTTTTAGGATTTTTTTTTAAAGGTTTAGATTGATTCCTTGCGTTACGCTTAATTTCATTTTAATTGTTTCTTTGATTCAATTGAAGGATTTTTTGTGGCTATTACGAGTATTACTATGAGCAGTTTGTTCTCTGTTATTCAGTGGCCGATCGAACTCCATTGTTTGCCAGTGATGGTAACGACAATGATTGTTTGGTTAGACGTGTCTTTTGTTGTGTGTTTAAAGCGTGTCTTGCGTTTTCTTTGGTGGCAAAGGAGATACAAAGGCCAGGGGTGATGTTGGTGTAAACGAGATTTGATTCAAGGTCTTCGACATTACGTCCCGAGAGTTTTAAACCCGTGCATCGCACGCTAAATACTAGTTCAATATTTAAAATATGATAAAAATAATACTACTCCGTATAATGAATTTAGACGGAATATTTTTAGACGACTCGAAATACAATTTTGCATAAATAGTACAAAAATAGTGATGTTAATAGCAAATTGTCAAGATCGTATTATTTTGCACACATCGACACACCATTACTAATAAGTGAGATTCTTTTAAGTCATTTTTTATTTTTATTATTTTTGAAAGATATTTTAAGTCATTTTTCTATTTTTTTAAATTAATAAATGAGTAAATGTGCTAAAAAAAACATAGAGTTTAACCGTCCAAGAAGTAGGACTGAGCAAAACTATCTGAAAATCCAAAAATCCGATATCCAATCCTCATCCGATCCGAAAATTATGTATATCCAATCCGAAAAAGTCGGATATCAGATATCCAAATTTTAGATTTCGGATACCGGATATCGGATCGGATATCCGATTCGAAATTTAAAGAAATCACTCATTACTCCGATATTTCAGTACTCCATATTATTTTTTTACATCATATAAAAACTACCAAACCCTAACAATTGAGTCCCCGCGCCCCCACCCGCCTCTCTTTCTCTTCTCCTCTTTTTCTCTCTCTAGCTTTTTCAGATTCTCTCTCCTTTCCTCATCTCAAATTCTCAAGCAATTAAATCTCAATTTTCTCAGATCTCCTCAACCAAGACAACCATTCAAATATTCAATCGTAACTTTCTCTCTCCTCTCCTCACCTCACCTCACTCTCAATCTCTCAGATCTCAGGCTCTCACTCAGCTTTCACGCCCGGCTCAGCACCTCATCGCGTCGGTATGTTTTCACTCCATCAGCTTCTCACCGTCGTCAACGGTGGTTCTTAACCTTCGAGAGTTCCACTAATTGAACACCATTACAATTAGAACCATTGCGAGTTCGCAAAGGTGGAGCGTCATTTGGTTGATTGTAATTTGGTGAATTAGATTTTGATTTTTTTTATTATTTAGAATTTCGGATCGGATACGAATATCAAATAACCAATTTTTCGGATATGGTTACCCGATTCAAAATCCAATTTCGGATCGAATATTCAATCCATGCTCGCCCCTACCAAGAAGTTGCTATCGTGTCACTTCCTAAGATAAGTAGGCCAATCTTCATTAATAAGAAAATTACGAAGAATAAGACGCATTGACTGAAAATTAGATAATACACTCGGGTGCACCATGCTCATGGTGCACTCGGGTAAACAAAAAAAGGCGGAAAGAACATATAATGTTTGATAAAGAACATACCTATATTTGACAAAGAACATACCTTTAATATGTTTTTTAAGTGTGATCAGTGTGTTCTTTGAGTAAAATTATATGTTCTTTATATTATAACTTATGTTATTTAACATATGTTGATAAACATATATTTTTTTTGGGTTTAATAATACAAAGTATGTTTTTTGAATTTGGCGTGTATGTTCTTTAAGGTCGTAGTGACTCCCAAATTCTATTTTTTATTATCATATGTCATATTTAAATTACTTTTATTATCGTATATTCTTTGAGTTTGATTAGTGTGTTATTTAGGTATTAACTATATGTACTTTACAATATAAATTATGTTCTTTTAACATATGGTATTTTGAAATTTGATATTGAAATCTTAAATTATTTTTAATTGAAAATAATGTTAGAGTAAAAAACAAAACTAAATTATTATGGGAAGTTGAATTTTTTTTGGAGAGATAGAAAACTATTTTTTGGGGAAATGATATCTTTGGTAAGGATTTTCTAAGAGGTGATCAACATTGGCATGACTCGCATCCCGACCCGATCCGGCCCGAAATAGGGTGGGTTTGGGCAAACCTAAAAATACATTTTTAGTTAAAACTCGAACCGGGTTCGAAAAAAGCCCGAAAACCCGCTACTTTTCTACAGGTTTGGGCACAAGAAATTATGATATGGCCCGACCCTACTCGATTTTTTATCACCTCTAAATTTTTCCCGTTAATAATGTGTAATTTTTCAGAAAATTTTATCAAGTTTTTATCTCGTTCTTTTTATTATATCTTTATGTTCTTTGGTAATGCATGTTTTTGTCAAATACAAACATGTTTTTTGTCAAATACATGTATGTTCTTTATGAAACACATGAGATTCTTTCCGCCTTTTTTTTATTTATCCGGGTGTACGATGAGCACTGTACACCCGTGTGTATAAACCACGGATTACGCATTGACTTCGAGTCGTCTTTTTTAATTCTTACCCACGCTAAATTTGCGTAATATTTCCCTTTTTTTTTCTCTCTATAAAACTCATTTAAGACCGTTCTCATCATCATTCTACCAATTAATCCCAACAAATTATTCCTTTCAAAAAAAAAAAAAAAAAATCCCAACAAATTATTACAAATTCTGCAAAATTTAAGTGTGAAATGGCTGATTCTTATGATCTGAGTGCTCTTCTTTCTACAGAGGAGAGAGATTTTCTCATTCGCAACAATGGCGACCAGGTAACCTCCTTTCTCTCTTACCTTTTTCATTTTTGATAATTTTGTGGATTAATTTGTAAAGTTATTAACTTTACCTTATTTTATGATTAGGGTGCAATTTGTTAAAAAAAAAAAAAAATGATATGGGTGCAATTATGAAATTTCGCCATATTTGTTTTTAGACTTTTAGTTGCTTTTGTAAGGGGGTATTTCATTTATTCCAATTTTTTCTTGTAAATTAATTTTGCATCTTCATTCTATTAATTTTTGATTGGTAGGAAGTTTTATCATCATCCCATTTCCGGGGTTTGATATAAATAATAAATATTTTTGGGGGGTATTTTGCATCTTTTGTTGATATTAGTTGGCGATCATAAGGGTTTTCCATCAACCCTTTTCTGGGGTTTATGTAGATTAGGTCAATTTATTTTCAATGTTAGCAAATCTAAATGTTTCTGAGAAAAAAGTTATGTTTATGTTTTTCACTGTATGATTGCCTGAAGGTGGTTGATTTGATTGTTTGTGGATGTTGTTATGATTTGGGGATGGTTGACTTTCAGTTGAAGCAAGTTTTTTGGTATTGTGCATTAAAGTTTAGATGATTATGTCTTCTTTTGTTGGATTGCTAAAGTTGATCAGTTAAAATGTATATGGGTGTCAATTTAATTGTTTATGGATAATATGATATGATTTTGATTTGGTAAGTTTTGTTTAAGTGGGTATGTGTTCTATTGTTGGATTCGATGTTCCATCATTCGAATTTTCTCGTTGTTTTTGCTGATCATTGTAGGTCAAAATCAATGGTTTGAGTGGAAAGACTCTGGGTCTGTATTTCTCTGCATCATGGTGCCCACCTTGCCGTGGTTTCACCCCTACTTTGATTGAAACGTACAAAGAACTCTCCGAAAAGGGAGACTTTGAAATCGTCTTCGTTTCATCAGATAGAGATGAGGAATCCTTTCAGGGTTACTTCTCTAAGATGTCATGGCTTGCTGTTCCAATTTCTGATAAAGACACAAAAAAGAGCTTGGGGGAAAAATTCAGTGTGATGGGAATCCCTCATCTTGTGATCCTTGATAAAGATGGGAAAGTCTCAACCAGTGAAGGGGTGGAATTGGTCATGGAACATGGTGCCCAAGCATACCCATTTACACAGGAAAGAATCAATCAATTAAAAGAGGAGGAAGAGGCTGCAAAGAGAAACCAAAACTTGAAAACTCTTTTGGAAAATGGATCCCGAGATTTTGTAATTTCAAGTGATGATAAGAAGGTATGATTCATTTTATCCACCTGGTTGTTGAATTTAGATTCTTGGTTTCTTATGTTGTTGAAGACCTATAACAATTTTAGGAGTATTTTGTTATAGAGTCTAGGTTTTGGAACTTGGAAAGTATAGAAGGAATTTTGTTCTCAAATCTACTCCATATATCGAATCTCTTATGGGCTATGGCAATATAATTTATAAACTACGGTAAAAATGTCCTTTGAATTGGATTTTCAAAGGGTTTTAGATCAACTAAGATGATTGATGCTTTGTCCTGAAGTTGATTTGTGGTGTGTACATGCTTTCACGCTAAGTGAATTTGGAAGTTTAGGAAAAGATATGATTGAAATCCTTTTGTTGCATGAGAGTGCGAGTCACATACTTTCGTTTCTGGAAGTCGGAAAATGGTAAGATTTGTTTCACGTTATCTCAACTTACTGTAAATTTTGGTATATTTACTCTGTTTGCTACCTTCCCTAGATATTCATTTGCTTATATTAATTTTGAATTCCCATCAGGTTTCTGTGAGTGAGCTTGAAGGAAAGATGGTTGGCCTCTATTTCTGCGTAGGATCCTATAAGCCCTGCACTGACTTCACCAAGAAGTTGACGGAGGTTCACAAGGAACTCAAGGAGAAAGGCGAGAACTTTGAGATTGTATTAATCTATTTGGATGATGATGATGAAGAAGGATTTAAGGAAGCATTGGCACAGCTGCCATGTTTTGCCTTGCCCTTCAAGGATAAGAAGATTGAAAAACTTGCTCGTTACTTCGAACTGGCATCCATTCCCAGGCTGGTCAAATTGGGCCAGATGGAAAAACTCTAAATCCAAATGTTTCAGAACTGATAGATGAGCATGGTGCTGCAGCCTACCCTTTTACTCCAGAGAAGCTGGCTGAGCTTGCTGAGATTGAGAAAGCCAAACTTTTGTCGCAGACACTTGAATCAATTCTGGTTTCAGGAGAACTGGACTATGTCATTGACAAAAGCGGCTCTAATGTAAGGATTCCTTTGTTTT